CACAATCCCTGTGTCCCTTGGCCCAGTGTTGTGCAGGTGAGAGCTAAATAGTAATTAGATCTGACACAGACACAAGCAGGCAGAGCAATTAACCAAGAGTTCACAATGAAGTCTTTCATCACATTAGCAGTCCTACATCTGTGATGCAACACAGCAATGGTGAGGCATAGATTGGATGCTGTGGGACCCACAACAAGAAGTTGCCTGCCCCTTTAGCATATAGGGACAAGCTAGGTAAATTAATACATGGACATAAGGGAACAGGTTAGGTAAATGAACATATGGACATAGGGCAGGGGTCTGCAACCTTTAAGGCATAAAGAGAGCCACTTGGACCCGTTTCCGAGAGGGAAAAAAAGACTGGGAGCCGCAAAACCATTGCAACATTTAAAACAAATCCGACACTGCATATATTGCAAAAAACGCTCTGGTCATGAAGGGGGTTTAAGGGCCCAGTAAGCAAAGGGTTAATCAGGGCCACAGTGTATCGTCATAATCACAATCATAGCCTTAGGTCAGTGGTGGGCAACCTTTTTTTTCGACTGAGCCAAATCTCGCCAAAACCACGATTGAAATTTATTTTTGAGAGAAACATTTTTAAAACTGAAAATACATCCCCCATATAGTAATTCATCCCCCATATAGTAATTCATCCCCCATAGTAATTCATCCCCCATAGTAATTCATCCCCCATAGTAATTCATCCCCCATATAGTAATTCATCCCTCATATAGTAATTCATCCCCCATAGTAATTCATCCCCCCTATAGTAATTCATCCCCCATATAGTAATTCATCCCCCATAGTAATTCATCCCCCCTATAGTAATTCATCCCCCCTATAGTAATTCATCCCCCATATAGTAATTCATCCCCCGTAGTAATTCATCCCCCCTATAGTAATTCATCCCCCCTATAGTAATTCATCCCCCATATAGTAATTCATCCCCCCTATAGTAATTCATCCCCCATAGTAATTCATCCCCCATAGTAATTCATCCCCCATATAGTAATTCATCCCTCCTATAGTAATTCATCCCCCCTATAGTAATTCATCCCCCCATAGTAATTCATCCCCCCTATAGTAATTCATCCCCCATAGTAATTCATCCCCCATAGTAATTCATCCCCCATATAGTAATTCATCCCCCATAGTAATTCATCCCTCATAGTAATTCATCCCCCATAGTAAATTCATCCCCCATATAGTAATTCATCCCCCATAGTAATTCATCCCCCATAGTAATTCATCCCCCATATAGTAATTCATCCCCCGTAGTAATTCATCCCCCATAGTAATTCATCCCCCCTATAGTAATTCATCCCCCCTATAGTAATTCATCCCCCATAGTAATTCATTCCCCATATTGTGTGAATTCACTTACCTTTGCTCCGCGCGTTCCTCTCGCTGGGTTCCCGCGCCGTTCTGGTCTTCAGGCGGACTGTGAGAGGAGAGGAGTTCGTCACGCTGCCCCGCCTACATCCGGGCTGCCCCGCCTACATCCTGACAGCCAATGTTTGCCAGCGGGCGCCCGGCACACAGAAGATCTGCATTAAAAGAGCCGCGGCTTGCCGACCCTATTGCCTGTCACCTGGTGGGCAGTGTGCTCCGGAGCCGCAGGAAAGGTGAAAAAGAGCCGCATGCGGCTCCGGAGCCGCGGGTTGCCGACACCCGACATAGGGAAATCGATCAGACATGACACTACAATCTGCAGCCACATGTGAGCCCATCATTAAAAGGTAATGCAAACAAACAGCAAAAAACACAAATACCTAGTTAAAACAACAAAATATTTAAAAAGTGTACAAAACTTTTAAGAAAGAATAACTGCATAAATACCTGTCAGGGAATGAGAAGATCGCCGCAGCGATCGAATCTGCACATGCGTCGAATCCTGACAAAACATACAGGCAGGCGGGCACTAGGACCAGGTGCGCCTGTCATCAATGATGGCGCCGGGCAAGCATTAGGACCCAGGAGCACCTGTCAGGAGTCGGGCAGGCTATTTAAACCTGGCTCTCTTGCAATGCTCAATTGCCGTATGGTCTTATCTGTGTTCCTGAGAGTAGATTGTTTGTTGCCGAACCTACCTGACCCTGATTTGCTGCCCATCTCCTGTTCTGATCCCTGGCTTTGTCTGACCATTCTCCTGCTTAACCCCACACGTTCTGACCTCCTGTTGATGAACCTGGCTTGTGACCTGTTTATCCCTCTGCCTGCTGATTCTGTACTACACCGCCGCCACTGTTACTGACCCGGCCTGCCCGACGCTGCTCTAGTTACCTCCTCACATCAGACTCTTACCCACTTTACACCTTCTACGGTGCCTCTACCACAGCTGGGTGAACCCAGGGGCCGTGACCTGGTCTCGTCCTGCTCCAAGTCCTTCCCCACCATCAGGGGCCCTGGTGAACAAGCAGGTCAGAGCTTAGATTCCGTGCCTTGGGGGATTCCGGTCTGTGGAGTGCTAGAGGCTACTGCGGTTGGATTCCTGACAGAACCATATGGCCATGTCAGAATCTGGAGGAGGACCTTCACCCTGGGAAGAGATGTGCCAACATCTGGCGGCACTCACACGGGCAGTGAAGACCCTGGAAGAGGGATACAAGCACCTGGAGGGACAGGTCCAGAGCCTGGCCGCACCAGCACCCACAACTCCAGACTGTTGGTTATGTGTTAGAGAAGACACTGGTAGCTTGTGATGAGGCAGAACTCTGTTTTACTTGTGTGGCTTAAGTTGCAAACATACAACACATTTCAGCAGACATCTTGGTTGTTGAAGAGAGGAAAGAGAGAACCAACAAGTTTTACACATATGCACAACTAGTAACCTTAGTGTACAGTGCCATCTACTGGTCAAGTGATATTAACACACAATACTATATAGTACATGCTGTTGTATCTCCAACACCCCTTCTCAACGGCATGTGCATAATTATATGACATTTAGTCTCTTTTGTAGAAAAACAATGACGTTCCCTTGGCAAAGGTTTGGTGAGTGCGTCTGCAGTCATCTCCTCTGATGGGCAGTACTGGATGTCGATAACCCCTTGTTCTTGCATGTCTCTGAGCAGATGATATCTTACATCAATGTGCTTGGTTCTTGGGTTAATCTTCTCAGAGTGTGTAAGCTTTATGCATCCCTGATTGTCTTCAAAGATGGGTGTGGGTTGTGACATATTCAGTCCCATGTCTAGAAGTTGACGAATCCAAATGTCTTCTTGACATGCATGTGCTGCTGCTATATATTCCGCTTCAGTTGAAGAGAGTGCGACAGTCACTTGTTTCCGACTAGACCAGCTTATGGTTCCTTGTCCATACTGGAAGATGTAACCACTTGTAGATTTGCGGTCAGTGGTGTCTCCAGCCCAGTCGGCGTCCACATATCCAATCAGTTTTGGGTTTGATGATGCTGGAAGTTGCAGCTTCATCCGATTTGTTCCTTTTAGGTACTGCATTACCCTCTTTACTGCATTCCAGTCGCGCTGACACGGTGTTGCGACTTTCCTGCAAAGTATTCCCACTGCTAGGGCAATGTCTGGTCTCGTCACGGTGGCGATGTATAGCAATTTTCTGATTGCCCTGCGGTAATAATCATTGTTAGGTAACAAGTTTTCTGTTCCATTGTTTTTTGGATAATCTGGTTCCATTGGTGTTTTTGCTTCCTTTGCATCTTGCATGTGAAACTGTTCTAACATTTCTGTAATTTTCTGACTTTGGTTAAGTAGATAGCTTCCATCCTCTTCCCGCTCTATTTGAATTCCTAGGTAGTGAGTAATGTTCCCCAACTCTTTAATTTCAAAATTTTGTTTCAGTTTGTGAACTATTTGGTCATAGTCCCCTTCTTGTTCAAAACACGTCAAGATGTCATCGACGTATATTAGGATGTATTTCCATTTGTTCTCTTGATTCTTTGAATACAGACATGGATCTGCTTTACTTTTTGAGAACCCTTCTTTTCTGAGTATTTCGTTCACTTTTTCATTCCATGCTCTCGCCGCTTGCTTGAGCCCATAGATGCTCTTTTGCAGTTTGCACACAAGGTTCTTTTCTTTCTCAAATCATGGTGGCTGTTCCATGTACAGATCCTCCTTGATGTCTCCATACAAAAAGGCAGTTTTGATGTCTAGATGCTTTACTTGCATTCCCTTTCCGGCAGCAATACTAAGGAGTGTTCTTATGGTAGAATGTTTCACAACTGGAGCAAATGTCTCATCATAATCTTCTCCAAATTTCTGGGAGTATCCCTTGGCAACTAATCTTGCTTTGTATCTATAGATGTTTCCTTCTGTGTCATATTTCACTTTAAAAGTCCATTTGCTTCTGATGGTTTTGTGACCAGGAGGGAGTTCTGTTAGTGACCAAGTTTTATTTTCTTGAAGTGATTTTATTTCCTCTGCAGCTGTTTTTCTCCACTGATCGACTTCCCTTCTCGGCAAAGTTTCTATGTCTTCCCAGGATTTTGGCTCCTGTGTTTGATGTGTTTTAGCAGCATATGATAACCTGCGGGGTGGTATTTCTTTTGTCATTCGAGAGGATCTTCTAATTTCTTGTTGTTCAGTGGGATCTATTGGCTCGTTGATTGTAAGTTCCACTTCTTGTTCTGGCTCTTGTCCTGCTTCGCATGGGTCAGTGTCTCTTGCCGATTCAGCACGTAAATCCTCTCCACATTTTTCAAGAATTGTATTATCTGGTGCTTCACTTTCATCAAAATAAACACTGCGGCTTACTGTGACCTTGTTGGTCTTTGGACAAAGGATTCTATATCCCTTACTCTGCTCACTGTAGCCCACCAGAATGCCTTCTATGGCTTTGTTCTCCAACTTGGAGCGTTTCTGACTTGGAATGTGGGCATATGCTTTACAGCTAGAGATGAGCGAAGTATTCAAAAATTCGATTCGGCTGATTTGGCGAATTCGAGGAATAAATTCGATTCGAGGCGAATATATTCGCTGCAAATTTAACTTATAAAAAGGGTGTTTCTAGGCTTCAGAGAGCCTTTATATTAGTGCAGAACACTGTACCTTTAATTTAAATGCCCTTGGAGTCTGCTGGGGAAGAGAAATAATACTGTCAGTCAGTATGACATGCAGATGAGTGCCGTCGATCTTAGAATCACCGCACACTTCACTCATTTGGGCAGTCACGGGGCCAAAACCAGAGTGTGGAGCCACAGTGTGGCGGTGGAGGCAGCAGCAATGGGAGGCCATACAGCACCCTATGACAAAATGGAACCCCACCAGCAGTGTGAGGAGACCTGAAAGTGGCACATGGCAGAGTGTGGCGATGGAGACAGCAGCAATGGGAGGCCGTACAGGGACCCATGAGACACTCTGGACCTGGCAGCAGCATGAGGAGGCGGTACAGGGGCCCATGACAGATTACGGGCCTGGCAGCAGCATGAGGAGTCAGTACGGGGGCCCATGGCAGATTACGGGCCTGGCAGCAGCAATGGGAGGCCATACAGCACCCTATGACAAAATGGAACCCACCAGCAGTGTGAGGAGAGCTGAAAGTGGCACATGGCAGAGTGTGGCGATGGAGACAGCAGCAATGGGAGACCGTACAGGGACCCATGACACACTCTGGACCTGGCAGCAGCAAGAGGAGGCGGTACAGGGGCCCATGGCAGAGTGGCGAAGCGTAAGCAGCTTAAATTGAAGGCCATACAGAGGCCTATGTTAAAAATAATAACATGTTTGGGGCATGATTCATGGCGGATTTAGTCAGTTGTGTCAGGAACTGGTGGTTTGAAATCCAGACTAATCCACGCCTGATTCATTTTCACAAACGTCAGTCTCTCCACACTTTGGGTGGACAGTCGTGTCCTCCGCAGAGTTACAATACCTCCTGCCGCACTAAACACGCGCTCCGATGCCACGCTACTGGCCGGGCATGACAGCCTTTCAAGGGCAAATTCAGCTAGTTGGGGCCAAAGGTCAAGTTTCGTTGCCCAGTAGTCAAGGGGATTGTCTACCTCGGTTGGCAGGGTGCTGTCCAAGTAGGCCCAAGCCTGTTGTTTGAGGTCCTGCTCCAGGTCCACCTGATGCTGCTGCTGCTGCGGCTGGTTAGTAGTTTCCTCACTGCGCTGGTGAAGAAAGCTACTCATCATCGACTGCAGACTGAGGCAGCCGCTGCTGGTGGAGCTGCCACTGCACCTACCACCCCACCCCTCCCCTGCTGCCATGGCAGCAGAATGCGAGCGCACAGGGCCCACAGTGTCTGAGGATGGACGTTGGCGCAGAAAGGCAGAGACCAACTGACTACATAGGTGGTTTTTATAGTACGTTATTTTGGCCTCCCTCTCAGCAGGTGTGAAAAAGGCCACCATTTTTGAACGGTAGCGAGGGTCCAACAAGGTGGACAGCCAAAAGTCATCCCTCTGTCTGATGGTTATTATTCGGCTGTCGCTACGCAAGCAACCGAGCATGCTATGGGCCATTTGTGCCAAGGAATGCGAGGGACTCCCTGCCTCCATCTCCACAGCATACTGCCACGGTGCGTCTGGGTCCTCTGTCTCCTCCTCCTCCTCCTCTACCAGATGCTCCTGCTCCTCCACTCCTGTCCGCTGAGTGGAAAAACCACCCATTTCACTCAATAATTCCTGAGCACCAATGTCCTCCTCTACCTCATCCTCTTCTTCTTGTCCTGCCCCCCACAGGGGTCATGTGGCGTTGAGATCTGTGCGCCACGTCTACCGCACCCTGACCAGCCATTGTTAACAGCATTTGTTCCAGGACGTGCAACAGAGGAATGACGTCGTTCATCCCATAGTCCTGCCGACTCACGAATAGCGTGGCCTCCTCAAAGGGCCTGAGCAAGCGGCAGGTGTCACGCATGAGCTGCCAAATGGCTGACATCTAAGTTACACAGGGGAGTACCTTTATCCGCTTGTAACATCAGGAAATCGGGGTGATGGCCTTTCGCTGTTCGTAAAGGCGGTCTAAACCATATGTAGGGTTGAATTCCACCTTGTTGCAAACGTCGCAGATCAGGCGATGCTGTGGAATTCCGTTCTGCCGCTGCAGCTCAAGGAGGGTGTGCTTTGCAGTGTAGGAATGGCTGAAATGCATGCCCGGGGGAGGCCGGCCCCCCCACCCCCCCCAAAAAAGGGGGGTTGAGGGGACCTTTTTTTGGCCAAGGCGTTTAAAACCTGGAAAGGCCCAAAAGGGGTAAAAATGTCCCAAATTGCTGGTTCAGCTGTGCCGGCCACGTTTACCCCGTGGGCCGTAAATTTGGGCATGTACTTTTCCCCCGACCGTAGTTACAGCTCCACAGTCGGCGCTGCCCTGGGACTTTGGCGAGACCCACATGCTCAAAGGGTGGCCCCAATTTTCCCTTTTACATGGAATGCAGGGCTGGCACTGCCTTTTTTGGGGAAGAAATTTCCCGGGTTGACACTCCCAACCCCGGCACGGGACCCAAACCCTCATTTTCGGAAAAGGTGCTGGTCCCAAACCCCTTGGGGAAAAGG